AACTCCCCTCGCCTTCTCATCGTCCAACCGTCAGCTCTTTCATCTCTTTTCTCTCCTGCTCAGCTGTCCCTGTTTCATCTCAGTCTTTTGTGAAACTACCTTCCTTCATTTCTGGTGAGGAACCGTCCTGAACGGATTTAAAAAATATTAAACATCTCTGTACCTTTACAAAAAAAAAAACATTTTTCCTTTAATACTTTACCTTTTTCCTGGGTATGAGTGACGCTTACATTTGACTTATTTATTGAATTGTATTGAATCTTTTTAAAGGTGCTCTCTGTCCCTCTCCTGGCCCGTTCAGGGTGTCTTCATGCTGGGGTTGCCCTTTGCTCTGGTCCACTCGGGCTATGTGGGTCTGGTGCTGCTGCTTCTGTCTGCCTGGGTCTGCAACCACACCGGAAGGAGCCTTGTGGCCTGCCTCTATGAGGAGGAAGAGAGGTACCAAATACCTTTGACTTTAAGGAGATGCTGCACTTTCTTATAAAAATTAGTTGGAAAATGTTTGGGTGGATTTCCTGTATTTCCAGTTTGGGTTACAGCATCATTGTTTTTTTATCCAGAAGACAACTGGAAGCCATAGGTCTGCGGCTCCAGGCCAGTAGGGGGCTCCCGAGAGCTGTGATGCCAGCTAAAACAAACTTTTACTGCCCAGTAAAATAAAATCTTGCTGGATAAACTCTAGAAAGTTTTTTTTCCACATTTAGATTTTACTTATCCCCTAAAAATGCATAAATGAAGATCAGTAACTAAAACTGATAGATACAGGTTTTTATTTTTATATTTTTGTCAGGTTGCTTGGATTCTCTGATACCTGGCACGTTTCCTCCATGTTGGGAACGAATCTCAGTCTCAGAAGGAGATGTTCTGGTATCTTGGTGTCTTGTCCTTGAGTAGAGCAGAAGATGGTCCAATGGATCAGAGCTTCGTCTTTGGTAGTGAGGGTGCTGCTTCGGTTTGCTCTGGTGATGTGGGAGCTGGGTCAAATCTGCAAAGCTCTGGATTTACTGACCCGTCTATGTTCTAACCTCCTGTAGCCACCAGTTATTTTGCTCTATAACTGTAGGGCATGATGGAAAGAACAAGATCCCGCTGCGGATGCAAGCTGCTGATTGGTGTTTCCTCCTCTGGGTGGCTGGACTCAAACCTTAATAAGATAAAGTGAGGAGCCGCTGCTCCTCCACATGGAAAGGAGTCGGCCGAGGTGGGTTTGGGCATCCACTTAGAGGAGACCTCCAGGAAGACTGAGATCTCACCAGAGGGATTGAATGTCTTCTCTGGCATGGGAACACCTTGGCTGCTGAGAGGAATGTCTGAGCTTCCCTTCTGGACGTGTTACCTCCATTGAACCAGGAAAGAGATTAGCGATTGGTAACGCAGTCGTATCATCACAAGGTTCTGTCCCTGTGTCTTAGTGATGGGTCTGGATTGGTGACAAAGGTTCGAGTCCGACACAGCTACCAGGACATCATGGACGCCTGCTGCGAAGGGCTTTGTTCAAACTGGTCAGGAGTTGGAGGCTGGATGATAAACACAGCCCAGGTACCACGACACAAACACACAGCTGATTGTGAGTCTGCACGGCCAAGACATGAAAAAACGTGAAATTACATCATCCTTTGGATCATTACACCACAAAAATCCTCCAGAGTTCTTCAGCCTTTTGTTTCTAGACTCGGCTCTCTTCCTCTGCAGGTGGTTGAACTGCTGATGACCTGCACCCTGTACCTGCTCGTCTCCACCTCTCTGCTGTGTGACAGTCTGTCAGGAGAGGCTCTTCCCAGATCCGTGTGTTCTCTGGTGTCTCTGATGTTCCTCCTGCCCTGTCTGCTGCTGACTGACCTCAGATCTGTCTCCACTCTCAGCCTGCTCTGCTCCCTGGCTCACATACTGATTAGGTGATGGACGTAAAGTACTCCACACTGTTGCATCTGCAGAGGATCCGGTTCACAGCGTGTTTGATCTCTTTCTAGTTGTGAACCTCGTGCACAAACACAATAACGTTTCTGGTCATTTAAGACTTGATGTTTTTATTTTTATTGTCTTTTTCATAGGGATGCAACAATAACACTTTTTTCCAAACCGATACGATACGATACTTGGATCTGAGTACTCGCCGATACTGATTACCGATACGATACTTCTACCACACATAAAATGCTATGGATTGGAATATAGGTTTTGTTTTCCTCTCTGCTTTCAACAGGAAAAGACTGTGAGGTTGATAAAAAGTAAAATGGGTGAACAGAAATGACACCTATTTTACTTTAAAGAGCAAGTCACCCACGACCAGATTCTTACTCAACTCCCACTTCCTGTTTGAAAAATGCAACAAATGCTGTTGCCTAGCAGACCGAGAGGGTGGAGCCGCTAACAAATACACACACACACAACATTGTGACATCATAATTTACCATCTAACATCATTGTGTACCTCTTAGCCAATAACGATGGCAGATTTTAATTCAAATGCAGTGCAGAGTTTGTTAGGTAATTTGATTTTATCCCATATTACCTTAAAGGACGACACACCCTTTGATAGAGAGAGAGTAAATTGATTATTTGTAATGTCCATGTGTGTGTGTCTCAACCAGCCCCCACTCTGCTTCAGCCTTCAATGCTTTCTCCTCACCTGCTCTGTATACCTGCATTCTCCGTCAGGAGACTAGAATGTTAGGTAATATTTAATCTCCATAACCCTGGAACCTGAAATAAACACACATGACAACCAGGAAGACATTTTACACTGAATTAGCCAAATGGGGGGGGAGATCACCATGACACATAACTCTCTCCAGAGCTATCTGCCAGGCGACTCCCCCTTCCTCAGAGTCTTCAGTGGTTTTATTCAAGCAACGGGTGAGGGGGAGAAGGCGGACCTTCTCAAGTTACAGAGTTACAGAGTTCTCTCAATTAACATCTTTGCTCAACCTTTTTATGAACAGCCAACACAGATTCATGATGTGTAATGGGCATCTTTTAGGTCTCAAAAAGGTACATTTATAAAAATACCCAACAGAGTTTTTACCTGACAACGGCACAACACTAACAGTTTTAGGCAGAAAATTAAAATTTTAACAAAAATGCACTAAAATGCCAAATTAATGACTACATTTGTCTGCAGCACAATCAGACACACATTTATATAGTTTATCAGAAAAAATAGTTGATTTGGGGGTGACTTGCTCTTTAAGATACTTAGAGAAAACATTCAGGAAAAGAGATTTGGGAGTTTGCAATAAATAAATAAATAAACAAAACAAGACAATAAAAAACAGCACATAAAAATAAAAAATATCAATAAAATTTGCTGAGATCCTGAGAAAACCACTATTAGATGAATCTTTGTTGCATAAACAAAGCAGACTCACCAGCTGTTCCAATTAAAACACCACCATAACAATAACGCTGCTCCTCAATAAAAGAGCAAGTGTGCAGTACACTGGTGCTCGATATGAGCTGTACCTTCTCATAAACTGTGGTCAAAGGATGGGAACCCAAACACTGAACCAGGAAACAGCAGGTGGAAAGCAAACACAACTTTATTGACTCCGACAGCAGCGAGGAGCACAGAAACAGCTGCTGGAGCAGGTAAAACCGATATAATCCATGAAGAGCAGAAATCACAGGCAAGGCCGAACGGGGGAACAGGAACTGAGTAAGCTGCAATGATCCGGTGGTCAGAGCGGAGAACCAGGTGAAATATTTACAGAACCGACAGCAAAGGAAAAACAAACCCCAACAAAAACAAACTGGTGAACGGGAGTCCCAAACAAGTAGCGTTAACCAGCACACATAAATGAACAAATCAAAACAATTACGCAGATTTGTCAAACATAAAAGCCACAGTTTAAAGGGGCAACAAGTAGGAATTCTACAGTGAAAAAAAAAATCACAAAACAATCTTTTAACGTCTCAGTCGTGTCAGAAGGAAGGTTACACCAAAACAGATGAAATTCTCAGCCAGCTGGAGCCAGTTTTTCTCCTTTTAAAAAGCTAAAGAGTAGCTACTGTTTACGATCTGTAAGCCTGCGGGTTTGTCGAGTCTGTGCTGAGCTAACGCTGCAGTGATGCAACACCAACCGGCAGAAAACTCCAGAGTTGTTTAAAGAAACAAAGCCAGTAAACAGGAGTGAGCCAGAAGTTATTTCTTGCACCGCATCCTTTTTGTTTTGCTCTTATATCAGGTGAAGCAGGCTATCGGCTAACATTTAGCTAACAATGCTAACGGTGAATTAAATGCAAACAGTTGGCTCTGAAAATATCTCAAGCTACTTTTTCGGTCACTAACAACTGGATATTTCAGTGAAATGTGTGTGTGAAGTGAATAATGAGTTTTACTTCCTTTAGCAAGTCGTTCAGAACAGCAAGTCAGCAAACAACCACCTTTTCTTATCACTGTGATGAGTGTTGTAAGTGCTCACCACCGTAAAACATCCCAGAGTGTTAACACACTCAGATCTGACAGTGTATCCATCTACTTATTAACTTACTGTGTGTGACTCATCTTCGCTGGTCATCTAGAACCATCTGGTGCTGACCCATAACTGGTAACAGTCATGAAACTCATAGAATGGGAGTGAGAAAGTAACTTATGGTTAGAAAAATGGTCCCAGTAACCAAGTTTAACCACAGGATGTCAATCTTACTTCATTCTTACAATTAAAAGCACAAAAAGACATGTTTGAGATTTTTTAAAGACCTTTTTTCCTTTTCTCCATCACAAATGTCACCAGTTTTTTTTTTAATTTGATAAAATAAACAAGTCTTTGCTCATTAAACCAAAGATTATTTAGCAAATTACCTGCTACCTATTCTCTTACCTGTACTTGTCTGTCAGCCTCTTGGTGATGCTGTACTGTCTGAGCTGTGCCAGCGCCTGGTCTTGGGCGTCCCTCTCCCTGTTAGTGGACCCAGAGGACTTCCTCGTCTCCGTAGGGGTCATCATTTTCTCCTACACCTCGCAGATTTTCCTCCCTCCTCTAGAGGGCAGTATGGAAAATAGAGGACACTTTGAAGCCATGCTGGGATGGACACATGGAGCTGCCGGTGTTATGAAAACTATGTTCTCTTTGCTGGTTAGTGACATCTGGATTAGAAACGTGAAACATCTTCAACCAGTAACAGTTGCTAAACAGTACTGATGAGAATCAGAGATGGAATGAGCAAACATGTTCTGCTCATGGTGTCTTTCCTCCAGGCGGTGCTGACTTGGGGGACTGAGACCAGTGAAGTCATCACTGACAACCTGCCCTTTAACCTTCGGCCTATAGTCAACGTTTGTCTGCTGGCCAAAGCCCTGCTGTCCTACCCACTGCCCTTCTACTCTGCAGCTGAAATCCTGCAAACATGTTTGCATAAAGGTGAGCAAAGAATCTTGCATAAAGGTGAGCAAAGAATCAACACCTACATTTCTTTTTAATAAGTCAGTTGAGGCGGCTCGGGCGTCTGATTAGGATACCTGGACACCTCCATGGTGAGTTTTTCCGGGCATGTGCAACCAGGAGGGGACCTAAAGGAAGACCCAGGACGTGTTGGAGGGACTACGTCTCTCACCTGGCCAGGGAACGCCTTGGGATTTCCCGGGAAGAGCTGGCCCAAATGGCTGGGGAGGGGGAAGTCTGGGCTTCTGGACTTGGGCTACTGCCCCCGCAACCCGACTCTGGATAAGTGGAAGAAAATGGATGGATGGAGCTTTAAAGTTCTTTTCTGTCACTTTTTAAATATGCAAAGTAGTTTAAATTATATGTTGAGCCAAAAGTGAAGTAATGTATACACAATACTAGTTATGGCTACATTTAGCTGCTGATGAAAGTCACTTTTTCATGCTCGTGTCGAGCAGGCTGCTTCATGCGCGTTCACGCTCAGGCATAGCCCGTAGCATTTGCTATCAGTAGCTTTAGCAGCAGAGAGAGAGGCAGTGCCACTTTGTCGCTGTTCCTAATGCCTAGTGACAAAGCTAGCTACATTTCTGAGGACCCTTAGCTACTTTCTGTATAACTTTCATCTAGATATTTCCTGCAAATTAGCAACAAAATAGCCATTTTCGCTCTGAACTGTTCTTTGAACGTTGTTTCAGCTGTCATCAAGGATCTCTACTGTCCACTCCTTGTTCCTTACTCTCCATGACTGATGTCAATGTTGCGGTTGTTGTTGTTGTTAGCCTCAAGGGCAATATGCCGATTATCACTTGTAAGTCGCTTTGGACAAAGCACTGAATGAAGTAATAACTAAGAACAACAATGCTCCACAATAAACACGCATAAACATCCCAAAATAGAATAAAATAACTAAAACCAAAACTACCCACAAAGCACCTCACCCACGAGTTCTTTGTTGTGCCAGAAAGCCACCAAAATTGCTTGTTTTGCTTGTTTTTTCCTATAAATCCACAAATAAAAAAAAATATATTAGTCAGTTTATCAGACACGCTTTAAGTTGAAATAAAGATGAATAGAATAATATAGAAACATAAAATTATAAATTAATATTTTTAGTTCATTACTCATTCGAGTTAAGTTGTTCTTTATTGATTTATTTCAGTTATGTTCACCAAAAACTATGTATTTTTTCAGATTAATTAAAACGTTTGAGTTCAATGTACTTAAAACAAGGAGACGATTGAACAAACTCAACACATTTGAGTTCTAAAAACGTTTGTTTATTTATGAGTGCAACCTACTCAATATATTTGATATAAGGACTGATCTGTTTGTTCTTTACTTTCTTTGTTTATTTAGCCGGTGTGAGTAGAGTATCAACTAAAATGCTGCTTAGAAACAAATAAATTCAAAGATCTTTAGAGACATAAAATATATGGCGGAAAATTATCAAAAAAATAAATATATAAATTAAATAATTTTGTTCCAGCTGGCTAAATAAATGACTGCCGACTCACTGTAATCCAGAAAAAGTTCACTGAACTCAAAATTTATGAGAAAACTGATTACCTAATAATTTTTAAGTTAACTTATCTAAAAACTATAAGTTTACCATAACTTAAAAAATATCCCCTGAATAAAATCAAAGCATTTAACTACCTCCAACCTATAACTTAGTATTTAAGCAACTTAGAAAGTTTTATTTCACTAAACTTGCATATTTTATTTTATTTTAACATTATTTCATGTTTTTACTAACTTAAATATTATAACTTATATGAACTCTAAATGGACCTAATAAACCCTAACCCAAATAAGTTGAATTTACTTAGAATTGACAATGTGGCAGGCTGGTGAAGGCAGTAACTAACACCAGATCATGACTCACTCACCCATAAATGCTAACAGCCAATGAAAGTGGAGCACTCAGAGTCAAGTCAAGAGCATCTGGTGTGAACAACCACAGTATTATTAACAATGGGACAGCACAGCCGTACAGCATTGCTTTGACCAACCTCCTCACTTATGGTGCCAACATGATACAAAAAGTAACACCACATCTGCAACACTGAACGAAATAATAACTGAGAACAACAATCCTCTACAATAAACATGCATAAACACCCCAAAATAGAGCAAAATAACTGAAAACATGATGACCCCACCAGTCGTTTATTGATCCTGAAATCCAATAAAATTGCTAATTTGTGGTTGTTTGTCTTTTAAATCCACAAATATTTAAAATAATATACAAGTCTGTTCACTTTAGGGTTGACGTAAAGATGAATGGATTAATAGAGAAACATGAAATAATAAATCAATCATTTTTTGGTTTATGTTACTCATTAAAGTTAAGTTGCCTTTATTGATTAATTTAAGTTATGTTTACTTAAAAAAGAAATAGTTCAAATTAATTAAAATGTTTGAGTTCTATGTACTTACAACAAGGAAAAGGTTGAACAAGCTCAACACATTTGAGTTCTAAAAGCATTTTTCTTAATTATGAGTTTTATCTACTCAATATATTTCATTATTTTGAACTTTTGGGTTTACAGAGTCGAAGCGGCATCAGCAGAGGGTGAAACGAAACAATCAGATAACAGTACCACTGGACTACCACAGATAATACAAAATATACTTTGGAGCATTCACAGAGATAACTGAAAGGAACCTTTTTCATTTTGGGGTATAAATTCAGACCTTGTCATGTAGCAAATTTTATTTATCTTGCTTAATTTGAACATAGAACAAAGTATTAACAATTGTCAACTAGTAACAGCCGTAGTTCATATGGGTCTGACAACTGGCCGCCCCTTTCTGCGTGCTGCAGCCAGGTGTACTTGGATGCTGCTGGTGGAGCAGTGACTCTACTCTGAGCCCCTCCCAGATTTCTGAGCTTCTCAGCTAATAAAGGCCTGAGCCAGAGATGCGTGAGTGTGGCCAGCTCCATCTTGTTTTCTTAAAGTGGCAGAGCCCTGAAATGGCTCATTATGGAAGGTACTGAAAATGTCAGTAATAAAACCCCTGGAATTGCTTCATGTGAGAGGGATTTGGTGCAAAGAACTTTAACTCATGTGATTTATAAATGTATTTAGATTTAAATCCAGACATATAAGTCAGTCTAAAGCTAAAACTAATTTAAAACGACTTATTTAAGTCTGGATTTGACAATATGCAGTTTGATATCTATAGATAAACATGAAAGTTGTACACTAATTATTCAGACCGCCATAAAATCAAAAAGCACAACAAAATAAAAGCGGTGTGAAGATGCCTCATCTAACATTTCAAACATCTCTTGATGTTTGTAGGTTTGTTCAGTGATGGATCATTATCGGTGTTTCAGTCTGAAACCTCTCATCGGTGGCCAGAAATAACCTATTGACTGTCAACAGTCTTAAAGTCAACTAATGCATCAAGGCATAATAAACTGTTTCATCGGAAAAAAGCCTTTTGTAAATATTTTATAAATCTCGTAATAAAGCATCAACTCTTTCTGCAATATATTTCATTTAAAAGTATCTGCTGCTGCCGCATTATAGGAATTCCCTTGCATGAACACATGGTCTCAACACCTGTAAGCTGATGAGACAACGAGTCTGGGCAAAGCAACGCGTAAATAAAAGGTTGTTTTCATGTTCAACACAAACGGCCACCAACTGCCATTCTCCGTTCGAATTCTCCTCCAGATGCTTCCCCGTCATCTTCCTCCAAGCCTACGAGTCGCCCAGTGTCTCGTCCAACTCTGATGGTCCGTGGAACTTTGTTGATGACATCATATTTCCTGGCTCTGCTGGTGCCCAGGTTTTCCCTGCTGATGGGTTTGACAGGAAGTGTGACTGGAGCGGCGATGACTCTCATCCTTCCATGTCTGTTTCACTTAAGGCTGCAGTGGAGGCGACTCACGGTGCAGGACCGCCTGGTCGACATTTGCATACTGAGTTTGGGGCTGTTATGTAGCGTTTCTGGTGGGATCTGTGCAGTGAAAAGACTGATGGAGGGACTCTAAGGAGATCCAACTCCAGATTGATTTATAAGTATGTATATGTACTTGTCTGTGTTAAATTATTATGCATTTGTGTTTTTTAGCTTTTTTGTACATGCAAACATGTCTGCATGCCTTTTAGTCCAGACTAAAATGAATCAACATGAGGATGTGGATCACGAAAGACTGTAGTTTTTCTTATTTACTTCAACATTAAAGCAACACGTACTGTATCACGTTTTCTGATTCTCCCTCCTACTGGTTGAAAGTAGAATTAAAGCTGTAGTAAACAACTCTGCCACAGCCTGCTGTTGCTAGCGCTAATACAAGTCAACTGATATTAAAATAAGCCACCAAGTAATAAGATTCACTGTTGGAAAACAAAATATTATTACTTACAAGTCCAATAGCAACAAAGCCAGGTCACCATCAGTCCGTGATTTTGTAGCCTTCCTCAGACTAGCGTTATCATCATCACCATTATTATCATCATCATTAACATCACAATCATCATTACCATAATCATTATCATCATCATCATCATCATCATCATCATCATCATCATCATCATCATCATCATCATCATTATCATCATCATCATGTTTATGTTTATGTTTATTCATTTAGGAGACGCTTTTATCCAAAGCGACTTACAATTTATAACCTATAGGGCATGTTGCGATCTGTAGGGGAAGCCGGAGTACCCGGAGGAAACCTACGCATGCATGGGGAGAACACACATCTCCACGCAGAAAGGCCGCAGCCGAACCGAGTTTCGAACCTGCAACCTTCGTGCTGCGAGGCAACAGTGCTAACCACTGCGCCACCATGCAGCCCATCATCATCATCATCATCATCATCATCATCACCATTATTACCATCATCAATAGCATCACAATCATCATTACATCAATCTGTCCATCCAAAACATTTCAGGTCAATAATCTGACGTAGGTCAGGAAGTTATTTGTTCCACGGCTCTGGGGTTGCCGCGGCAACGGAGCCAGCACCCAAATGTCTGTTTTATTATCTTAAAATTTATCAGATGACCTCATTTGTCTGTTGTGTACAAAGAGAGAATATCAGCGGTACAAGAGGGGGCAAGCCTTTACAACCATTAGAATACTAATTTTAGAGGGAACCAGTGGAGTGAAGAGAGACCTGGGGGATGTGTTGTCGCGGTTTGGTCTATAGCTGCACACGTGCGAGAGCTTTCTGTGATATAAAACGTTACGATAATCTAAACAGGAAGTAATGAAAGCGGCTGTTTCCAGGACACAATGGCTTAGAGATGTTTGTCTTTGCTCAAAGTCGGAGCTGGAACAGTCAGACTGGTTGTCAGCTAAATTCAAAGATCTCAGAACTCCCCAAAACATACATAAATGTTCTCATTCTGCACCTGCAAAGACAGAAGAAACATTACTCTGTTTAAATAGTTTGCCTGACACATAAAGATTCTGTTAGATAAATCCTGGCAAGTTTTATGATGAAAGAAAAGATGAACAGAAGTAACATCTACGAGGAATTATGAATGTTTTACACCATAAATGTGCTTTAACGCATGGAAAACACAAAGGAGAAGCACTGTACACCAAGGTTAGCATTTACGCTCCACCATGTGACATTCACTGTTAGGTTTGAGTGATTCAGATTCATCAAAGGGAAAATCTGCCGAGTGGAACAGAGAGACGGGTTTGACTGAACAAAACAATCCCAACTAAAGGTCACTGCAGTCGACGAACGACGGCGCTTCCATCTTTTATTCCTGAGGTCAGGATTAATTCATGTTTCACCGACATTTTATCAGGAAAAACGAGCTTTTCTAAGTTTCCTGCATACGCCGCACATATTTAGCTATGGCTGTCTTGTTACCATGGTACCCCAGTAAGCCGTTTGTGATGTCCCTTCAACGGTAAAGTTTAACTCAACAATTAAAATGTTCAAATCTTGTTTTTTTTCCTGTTGATTTGTTTGATTTTAGAGGAGATATGAAATAAAACCAAACATCACGTAAAGCACTAAAAGAAATTGTGACGTTTTCAGGTTTTTTGTCCATTTTGATGAAATTACATCCATGTTGGATAAATAAAATAAAAGTTTAGCTGATTTTCAAAGTAATTCTTTATCTGCTCTGGTAGACAAAGTGCAATATGCTGATGGACGCTGGTCTCGTTTTGCACGTGTAAACTTTTGTCACACTTTAGTTTTTATCTAAGATTTTATTTCACAGTAAAAAAAATGACTAAAGTTTTTCTTTTTTGGCTTTATACCAAAGTGTATTTACACCTAATCCATTAAATGTAGTACAAAATAAATGACTAAATAAAAAAAATCATTAATTTGTAATATATTATATTAATACAGTGAAAAGAATAAATAAATTAGTTCAAATAAAAAAATTATAACATTTATGCAAAATAAAAAATACACAAAAAAATGAAACAAAGAAATTAATAAAATGTTAAAAATAACAAAAACAATAAAACATGTAGTATATAAAATAAATTGCTTGTATTGTAAAGTGCCTTTTTAGGGATCTACAGCCCCCAAAAGTGCTTTACAACACAATCAGTGATTCACCCATTCACACGCTGGTGGTGATGAGCCACAGCTGCCCCGGGGCGCTGACAGAGGCGGGGCCGCTAAGCGAAGGCTCCACCGACCACCAGCAGGCAAGGCAGGTTACGTGTCTTGCCCAAGGACACAACAGCAGCATTCTCTGCTCATAAATTCATTCATTCACACATAAATAAATAAAATAAAAATTAAGTATATTGTTTCAAATGAAATCACAATTAATTGTTTAACAGCAGTTTAATCATACACATTTGAACTTTTGGTATTTTTAATCATTTCGTTCGTGCCGCACCTGTTTCCTGTTAGGTCTGTTAAACACTTCAGGCCACATTTGTATTTAAAACGTAAACCCTCCAGACTAAAAGTGGTTAATTGATGATATCACCTTGAAAGGAGGAATTTGTTTTACGCTTTTGTTGTTTTATTAGATAATTATTGCCTTTGAGGTAAAGAGATAAAAACTAATTCAAGGTGTGAGCCAGATTTATTACTAAGATGTTTGTTTTATTCAAAATGAATAAAATAACAATAAGTGTAACATATAAGTTTGGATCTTTTCTAATTAGCATTGGCCTGATCTGCCTTTGGGCTGCAGAAAATGACCCGATGTTTGTCAGATTTACCTGACAAGCACAAGAAAGATGATATTAAAGAGAAAATAATACAGAAAAAGTTTCTGATTGGTTTTTATTTGATGTTTTTCTGCACATTTAAGCAGAATTTTAGTAATTTTACAAAATGCGGTGGCAGATATTTAAGTGCTCCGGAGCTGCATTTTGATTCCATCTGTTCCCATGCTCATAAGAACAGGAACAGATGGATGGGTCGGGATAAACCCAACAGAAGAAACAACAACCAGGGTTCTAGTGCTGGTAGATACAGATGTGGAGCAAAGCTGTGAGTTCACCGTGAGGACACGGTGCTGGTGAAGGTGAGATGTCTCTCCGGGAGCGTTTCCTCTCTCTCTGGGGTCTGTGTTAAAAATGGCATGAGTTTATTTAGCAGGTAGGACTTGTAATAAATTATTAAACTTGTATTAAACTTGGAAAAATCACAAGATTCCTGAATCACCTGAGATGATAGGTCCACACCTTACGATGAATTTTGCAATATGTGCAAACATTTGTTTTCAGATTGAATATTCAGAAGATTGCTCGTTTAAAGTGCTGCTGTCCTCCAAGGATTCAGCGTTGGTGCTGCAGAAAGACGTCAGAGCGGCACTGAGGCCAGATTTATGGATACAGAGAAGTCAAAAATACGAGGAGGGAGACACCAGCAGCTACCAGGAGCCAGTCTGGTGAAGTGAATTAGCTCCAGCGGATGAGGAGATCCATGCTGGCTGCCAGTTTAGCTAATCCTAATCTGCATCTGGCTGGAAAAGACCCAGAGTGTGTGTGGGAGTCCGTTTTAGGAGCAGTTAGCATAAATCATCTTCGGTTTGTTCATATGTCAGTGCAGCAGCCCATATGTTGTGTGTGTGTGTGTGTGTGTGTGTGTGTGTGTGTGTGTGTGTGTGTGTGTGTGTGTGTGTGTGTGTGTGTGTGTGTGTGTGTGTGTGTGTGTGTGTGACATGAAGTTGTCACACTGCAATCAAAGCAGCCTGCAGCCACTCTGGAGCTTCTTTGCTTTAATTTAGGGACTCGTGTGTGTGTGTGTGTGTGTGTGTGTGTGTGTGTGTGTGTGTGTGTGTGTGTGTGTGTGTGTGTGTGTGTGTGTGTGTGTTGGTGTGGGATAATGACTTTATATCTTCTTTAGGTTTTGTTTTTAATAACATATGGACAGAAAAGCATTTTATCCTCTGAAAACCTGTTTCAGCTCAGCAACGTGTTTTAAAGTCAGTCGTAAAGCTGCTTCATTCATGTGAAATTAAATAAGAACTTATTAGCTTTAAAGGAGAAATGATCTACAAATCTGGGAGAGCAAATTATTATACAAAGGTTTGATTATCCATCATGCTACTGTCTGTTTGTCCATTCATTCATCCATCCGTCCGTCCGTCGGTCCGTTCATTCATTCATTCATTCATTCATTCATTCATTCATCCATCCGTCCATCTGTTCGTCCATCCATCCATCCATCTGTCAGTCTGTCCATCCATTAATTCATTCATCCATCCTTTCATCCACCCATCCATTTGTCCATCTGTCCGATCGTCCATTCGTCCATCCATCCATTCACTCCTACAAATCACAAAGAACTTAATCCACACATCCCATAATTCCCACTCTCATGAACAGCCAGCTGATCCACTGAGCTACAGAGACCTAGCGTACCATGCTAGCACCACTCAGCTGCTCCTGCACACTGTAATGAAGCCACTGTGTTGAGCCGGCGCTGTCGGGAGTAATTAAGGAGTAATGGGCCGTCCTGCAGGTCCATCAGCGCCGTACGCCCTCATTCACCACATCAACTCATCTGCAAATCCATCCTTGGCAGGACTTTGCTTTATCTGAGCTCACCAGTCCACATCTCCATTAGCTCCAGTAACTTCCTCTCCTCCCTCCCCTTCACGGAGACTCTTCTAGTTCAGCTCCTGGCTGCTCTGCTGATACCAGCATCTCTGTTTTCTTCTGTTCATAACTTCTTCTCAGCTCCGCCCTCGTTGTTACTACGAGTAAGAATTTGTCGTGCTAAATTATTAATCTTGTCTGGCTGGCTGCATCCTGCAGCATTATGATAATTAAACACCCTAATAAGCTTGGATCACAATTAATCTCTCTGAATTTGGGGTCAGCAGATGCGGACGAAGCATCGTTGTAGAACAGCACAACTGTTTCCTGCTGTTGATTTTAATTCTGCGTCTCTTTGGATGAAGGTCAGTAACGAGTCAGCGCCAATGGAACCCTATCTCACCCAGACAGTCATCAGTCAGCGTTATAATTTCCTACCGTGTCTCATTTCTCACTAAAACTTTGGCAGGATGGCGAGATGAAGTGTTGCTTTGGGTTTTTTATTAATGTGTCCTTTCAAAGCAGCTGGATCAGAACATTGATCGGAGACGTCAGCGAGCTGCTGCACATTAAGACGAGAAAATGGATTACCGGTAAACTCCAAGCGTCTTCTTTCAGATCGTCCAGAGCAGAAGTGGATCAGACCAGGCCAGGGTTTGTAAGCTCGCTTCATGTAAAACTTCACAAGTAGAAATAACATCAAGTCGATCCTCAACGTTTCATCTGCTGTGCTTTCACGGCCTAATTATGACAAAATGCAGATGAAAACATTCAGAGCAACATCCTTGAAATCCATTTAAAAAGCTCTTAAGTACTTTTTATTGATGGTCAGTGACTGGAAGCGTGCTCTCACTCCAGCCTGATTCAGTGTTTCTTCATTGATTTGAGAAAACGGCTGAAAACGCGTTCATTTCTACATCCCAGAGGCAGATTTGTCTAAAACACAGACCTTCCTTTTCCTGCCCTCTGCACTAAACACTCAGACCTTCCATAAATCTTTTCAGGTCTGCGTGGAACCACTCCTCTCTCGATCTACGGCCCTGCAGCTGTGGCCGCGGTCGACAGATGATGATTAACATCTGACTCAGATCAAACACCATGACCCACATGCGACACATCTACTGACACACACATGCTGCACCCATCGGTTGCAAGGTCTACTGTGTGTTTGTTAGGGGGCCAGTCATTAGTGATATTGGTTCTCAGCAGCTGTTAATCCGATCTGCTTCAGCAGCAGGATGCAGGATGAGCTGTGTCTTTTTCTGTCTGAGTTATTAGGAAACAAAACAAACCTCCAAATCAGCAGCAAAAACATTTTTATTGGTGCTTTTTTTTTTATTGATAGGGAATTGAGTGACGTGTACAACTGGAAACAAGTTATTGTAATGTAACCATTGATGCATTATTTAAAGTCAAGGAGGTGACATGGGATGTGAGGAATCTGTTTTCTAAAATACTTTAGATGAAACGTGTCCCACATGTGCAGATTATGCAGAGATTTATTGAAGTTTTCATTTGTGGCTCTTTTTACTTTGAGATTAACCTGCTGGGATGTCCTCTCCTGAGAAGATCCCAGCTTAGAGAGGACCTCCACCAGTCTCTACATTAGAGAGGACCTCCACCTGTCTCTACGTTAGAGAGGACGTCCACCTGTCTCTACTTTAGAGAGGACCTCCAGCTGTCTCTACGTTAGAGAGGACCTGCACCTGTCTCTACGTTAGAGAGGATCTCCACCTGTCTCTACATTAGAGAGGACCCGTACCTGTCTCTAAGTTAGAGAGGACCTGCACCTGGCTCTACGTAAGAGAGGGCCAGCACCTGGCTCTACGTTAGAGAGGGCGCGCACCTGTCTCTACGTTAGAGAGGACATCCACCTGTGTCTACGTTAGAGAGGACGTCCACCTGTCTCTACTTTAGAGAGGACCTCCAGCTGTCTTTACGTTAGAGAGGACCTGCACCTGTCTCTACGTTAGAGAGGACCAGCACCTGTCTCTACGTTAGAGAGGAACCGCACCTGTCTCTACTTTAGAGAGGACCTCCACCTGTCTCTACGTTAGAGAGAACCTCCAACTGTCTCCACGTTAGAGAGGACCTCCACCTGTCTCTACATTAGAGAGGACCTCCACCTGTCTCTATGTTAGAGAGGACCTCCACCTTTCTCTACTTTAGAGAGGACCTGCACCTGTCTCTACGTTAGAGAAGACCCGCACCTGTCTCTATGTTAGAGAGGACCTCCACCTGTGTCTACGTTAGAGAGGACCTCCAGCTGTCTCTACGTTAGAGAGGAACCGCACCTGTCTCTACTTTAGAGAGGACCTCCACCTGTCTCTACGTTAGAGAGAACCTCCAACTGTCTCTACGTTAGAGAGGACCTCCATCTGTCTCTTTGTTAGAGAGGACCTCCACCTGTTTCTACATTAGAGAGGACCTCCACCTGTCTCTACGTTTGAGAGGACCTGCTCCTGTCTCTACATTAGAGAGGACCTCCAGCTGTCTCTACGTTAGAGAGGACCTCCACCTGTGTCTACGTTAGAGAGGACCTCCAGCTGTCTCTACGTTAGAGAGGACCTGCACCTGTCTCTACGTTTGAGAGGACCTGCACCTGCCTCTACGTTAGAGAGGACATCCACCTGTCTCTACGTTAGAGAGGACCCACACCTGTCTCTACGTTAGAGAGGACCTCCACCTGTCTCTACGTTAGAGAGGACCCACACCTGTCCCTACGTTAGAGAGGACCTCCACCTGTCTCTACGTTAGAGAGGACCCGCACCTGTCTCTACTTTAGAGAGGACATCCACCTGTCTCTACGTTAGAGAGGACCCACACCTGTCTCTACGTTAGAGGACCTCCACCTGCCTCTACGTTAGAGAGGACATCCACCTGTCTCTACGTTAGAGAGGACCCACACCTGTCTCTATGTTAGAGAGGACCTCCACCTGTCTCTACGTTAGAGAGGACCCGCACCTGTCTCTATTTTAGAGAGGACATCCACCTGTCTCTACGTTAGAGAGGACCCACACCTGTCTCTACGTTAGAGGACCTCCACCTGTCTCTACGTTAGAGAGGACCCACACCTGTCTCTACGTTAGAGGACCTCCACCTGTCTCTACGTTAGAGAGGACCTCCACCTGTCTCTACGTTAGAGGGGACCTTCACCTGTCTCTACGTTAGAGAGGACCTGCACCTGTCTCTACGTTAGAGAGGACCCGCACCTGTCTCTACGTTAGAGAGGGCCTACACCTGTCTCTACATTAGAGAGGGCCTCCACCTATCTCTACGTTAGAGAGGACCCGCACCTGTATCTACGTTAGAGAGGACCTGCACCTGTCTCAACATTAGAGAGGACCTCCACCTGTCTCTACGTTTGAGAGGACCCACACCTGTCTCTACGTTAGAGAGGACCTCCACCTGTCTCTACGTTAGAGAGGACCCACACCTGTCCCTACGTTAGAGAGGACCTCCACCTGTCTCTACATTAGAGAGGACCTCCCCCTGTCTCTACGTTAGAGAGGACCCGCACCTGTCTCTACTTTAGAGAGGACATCCACCTGTCTCTACGTTAGAGAGGACCCACACCTGTCTCTACGTTAGAGGACCTCCACCTGTCTCTACGTTAGAGAGGACCTCCACCTGTCTCTACGTTAGAGAGGACCCGCACCTGTCTCTACGTTAGAGAGGGCCTACACCTGTCTCTACATTAGAGAGGGCCTCCACCTATCTCTACGTTAGAGAGGACCTCCACCTGTCTCTACGTTAGAGGGGACCTTCACCTGTCTCTACGTAAGAGAGGACCCGCATCTGTCTCTACGTTAGAGAGGACCTCCACCTGTCTCTACGTTAGAGAGGACCCGCACCTGTCTCTACGTTAGAGAGGGCCTACACCTGTCTCTACATTAGAGAGGGCCTCCACCTATCTCTACGTTAGAGAGGACCCGCACCTGTATCTACCTTAGAGAGGGCCTGCACCTGTCTCAACATTAGAGAGGATCTCCACCTATCTCTATGTTAGAGAGGACCAGCACCTGTCTCTGCGTTAGAGAGGACCTCCACTTGTGTCAGGATCTGGGGTGAGTCTGCACATTCAACTAATTACCACCAAGTCGTTGCAGGTGAGCGGTGCCGGAGAGTGGCCAGCTGCGGTGTGTTTCCCATCACCTGCCAGGGTTTATAAGGAGCTGGGAGATCACTTCACCTCGCTGGAAGATTACTCAACTTGGGTAGTTCTGTCTTGCCTTTAGTACAAGCTACAGTTCTTGTCACAGTTTATAGATCGCTACAGTTATTGTTATCTCAGTCCTAGTAGCTACAGATGGTGTTTGTGCTCTTAATGAGCGTAGTAATCATCCGCCCTGCTTTCCTCAGGATCATCTTCAGACCTGCCTCATCCAACCTCAGCCATAATCTGGAACCGTGCTACAGATCTCCCTCCTCCTGGTGGACCCCACCGCTCTCCTCCGCTCACCTCTTGGATCACGCCCCAGTACCAACACCTCTGCCACAGCTCACCCCAGATCTGCCCAGACATCAAAGCCAGCTTCCTACAGTAAGACTCCTCCGAAGAATTTATTCCACTTCAGCCACAAGATCCTCACCTCTGTCTATCCTACAGACCCCGGCCACCGGAAAGAGTGCTCTGCGCCTTTGCTACCCATCTCCACATTTTGTGGTGCCTCTTTAGTTCAGTTAAAAGAAATAAAATTGTATCTTATTTTTTTCCTACCTCTGTCTCCGAATCATTCTGCATGTCTTGGGTCAGGAAACTCCCCTCAGTCATGTCAGAATCTTCCAGCCATACTCCTGACTCTGCAGAACCCCCTTCCCCATCCATCTCCGACACGCTGGCTCTCCACGACCGGACCTTACAAGCCCTCATGGAACAAACTTCGGCCTCTAATCAACGTCTCCTCCGTATGGAAGCCCTGCTTCAAAACCTGCACAGCAGTCAGCCCCCAGTTACGGAACCTCCGGAACCAGGAGCTCCACCCGGGGCCGTTGCTCAGGAACTCCCAGCTCTCCAATACTTCCGGGCTGCCCCCTCACCGCCTGCCGACACGTTTGAGGGTGAGTCCTCTGAATGCCAGGGTTTCCTGCTTCAGTGCAGGCTAGCCTTCGGACTTTCACCTCATTCATTCACTACAGACTCTGCTCGCATTTCATATGTTGTTGGTCTGCTACGCGGGCGAGCTCTCCGCTGGGCAGAGGCTAGGAGCCATGATGAAACATTTTTAACCGGCTCTTATTCTGAGTTTGTTAAGGATTTTAAACTAACCTTCGGATGTGAGGAGACACCTGGTGACGTGGCACATAAGCTGCTTCATTTATCTCAGGGGCGGAGATCGGTAGCTGAGTTCGCCATAGACTTCCGGACCTACGCGGCTTCCTCGAGCTGGAATGAGGAGGCTCTAAAAGGGGTTTTTTCTAAGGCTTTGTCTGAGAGGATTAAAGACCAACTGGCGTTCTGTGCTGAACCCGCCACTCTAAATGGACTGATCGATCTGGCGATCCGCATTGATAAAAGACACCGGGAGAGACAATCAGGTACTCGTACACCTTCACCTAATTACCCTTCTCAGTCTCCGTCGCAACCTAAAAACCAGAGCCCGAGGGAGGAACCCATGGAGCTGGGTCGTACACATCTGGACCCAGAGGAGAAGCAGCAACGCCGCAGGTCAGGTCTGTGTTTATATTGTGGACTCGCAGGCCATTATGTCTCGAAGTGTCCTTCACTAAAAGACAGGGCCCGTCGTTAGGAACGAGAGTAATGATGGGCAGTATAACCAGTGGAACCTCTCGTAGCATCATTCCCTGTACCGTAATTTCTAGACTTCACGCCCTCGACTGTCACGCCCTTTTAGATTCTGGCTGTGAGCAGTCCCTTATGGACTCTGAGCTGGTGAAACAGTTAGAACTTTCCACTGTGCCTCTATCTACGCCTCTAGCTGTCTCGTCTCTAGATGGTAATTCTCTCACCACAATAACTCACCGCACAGCTCCCCTCACTCTCAGAATATCCGGTAATCACACTGAAGAACTCTCGTTTTTTGTTTTTCCATCACAAAACGCCCCTGTAGTTTTGGGTCATTCCTGGCTCTCAGTCCACAACCCGCACATCAACTGGCAGTCAAACTGCATCGAGACCTGGAGTCCCCGCTGCTCTGAATCGTGCCTCAAGTCCGCACTCCCTTTCTCCACTAGGGACCGCCCGACTACTTCTGTGCCCCCAGACCTCTCAGAAGTTCCCAAATGTTACCATGATCTTGGGAGTGTTTTTAGTAAGGAACATGCAGCCACCCTTCCGCCTCACAGACCATTTGACTGTAGTATTGAGCTACTTCCAGGAGCTCCTCTTCCTACCAGTCGCCTTTACTGCCTCTCCAAACCTGAGCGGGAGTGTATGGAGAAATACATATCCGAAAGTTTGGCTGCTGGACTGATTCGACCCTCAACCTCCCCTTTGGGAGCGGGGTTTTTCTTTGTCCCCAAGAAGGATGGCACGCTGCGACCGTGTATAGACTACAGGGGACTCAACAACATTTCTGTGAAGAATAAGTATGCCCTGCCTCTCCTGTCATCCACTTTTGAACCCGTGCAGGGCTCCACTGTCTTCACCAAACTTGACCTCAGAAACGCTTACCACCTGGTCAGGATTAAGGAGGGGGATGAGTGGAAGACTGCTTTTAAGACTCCACTTGGACATTATGAATATTTGGTAATGCCTTTTGGTCTGACCAATGCTCCGGCTGTCTTCCGGGCTTTAATCAATTCTGTGCTGGGGGATTATATTAACCGTTTTGTTTCTGTCTACTTAGACGATATCCTGATTTTCTCTAAGAACATTACAGAGCACAAGGAACATGTGAGGGCAGTGCTACAGCGCCTCCTCCAGAACAGATTGTTTGTGAAGGCGGAGAAGTGCGAGTTCCACGTACCCTCTGTCAAGTTCTTGGGCTTCATCCTGGAGAGTGGTCGTTTGAGGGCGGACCCAGAGAAGACCCAGGCCATACTGGACTGGCCCACGCCCACCTCCAGGAAACAACTACAGCGTTTCCTGGGCTTCGCAAATTTTTATCGCCGTTTCATCCGCAACTACAGTCAGGTAGCGGCCCCTCTAACCAGTTTGACGTCTGTTTCTAGACCTTTTGTTTGGACCCCCCAGGCCCAAGACGCCTTTGCCCGACTGAAGCATAGCTTCACCCAGGCTCCTGTCCTTACCCGACCAGACCCCACCAGGCAGTTTACCATGGAGGTAGACGCCTCGGACGCTGGGGTGGGTGCTGTGCTGTCCCAGGTAAACCCACACGATAACGCTCTCCATCCCTGTGCTTTCTTTTCCCGGCGGCTGACCCCTGCTGAGAGGAATTATGATGTCGGAGACCGGGAACTCCTCGCTGTCAAGTTGGCTTTGGAGGAATGGAGGCACTGGATCGAGGGAGCAGAGCTCCCGGTGGTCATCTGGACAGACCATAAGAATCTGGCCTATCTGAAGGACGCCAGAAGACTCAACCCCCGACAGTATCGTTGGTCCCTGTTCTTTTCCCGTTTCAACTTTATTATTTCCTACAGACCTGGCTCTAAGAACATCAAGCCTGACGCCCTCTCCCGACAGTTTTCTCCTGACAGAGAACAAGAACCTGGGACCATCATTCCCCCCTCCTGCGTCGTGGGATCCCTGACCTGGGACATCCGTGAGAAGGTCCTCCAAGCCCAGAAGTCTGACCCAGGCCCAGGTAATGTCCCACATGACCTGCTCTTCGTCCCCAACCAGGTCCGAGGTTCCGTCATCCACTGGGCCCACACCGGACGCTTTTCTATGCATCCAGGAGTGGGACGCACTGTGGCCCTCATCCGGCGCATGTTTTGGTGGCCAACCCTGTACAAGGACGTGAAGGACTATTTTACGGCCTGCCACATCTGCGCCAGGGGTAAGATCTCCAACCAGCCACCTGCTGGTCTTCTCCAGCCTCTTCCTATACCCTCACGACCCTGGTCTCACATTGCCCTGGATTTCGTTACTGGTCTTCCCCCGTCTCATGGGTTTTCTGTGATTTTGTCCATAGTTGATTGTTTTTCTAAGGCCTGCCACTTGGTTCCCCTTAAGTCGCTCCCTTCATCCTCAGTCACTGCCCAACTTTTGGTTAAACATGTGTTCCGCCTTCACGGCATCCCTCAGGACATCCTGTCTGACAGAGGTCCCCAGTTTGTCTCGCAGCTGTGGAAGGAGTTCGCTGCCGCCCTGGGGGCAAGGGTCTCCCTCACATCAGGGTTTCACCCCCAGACTAATGGGCAGTGTGAGCGGTTAAACCAGGAGTTGGAAGCCACCCTGCGTTGTGTCTGTGCCACGAATCCCTCTACCTGGAGCGCCCAACTCCCCTGGGTGGAGTACGCGCACAATGCTCATGTCTCCTCGTCCACAGGCAGGTCTCCCTTCGAGACGTCGCTGGGTTTCCAACCTCCCTTGTTCCCCTCAGACCAGGTGCGGTCCGCCTCCTCTGTCCCGCAGTTCCTCCGTGGCGCTCGGCGCGCATGGACTCAGACCGTTGCAGCCCTGGAACGGACGGCCGAGCGCAACAGGAAGGTTGCTGACCGGCACAGACGTCCTGCTCCTCTGTACGCCCCTGGACAGCAGGTCTGGCTGTCCACCAGGGACATTCGCCTGAAGTCCTCCAACCGGAAGCTCTCCCCTCGCTTCATCGGTCCCTACACCATTGCTGCAGTCCCGAGTCCCTCCACTGTTCGTTTGACCCTTCCTTCCTCCCTTAAGATCCACCCTGTTTTTCATGTGTCCCTCGTCAAGCCTGTTGTGTCTAGTCCCCTGTGTCCCTCTCCTGCTCCTCCTCCTCCTCGTTTCTTTGAAGGTGGTCTCGTCTACCCGGTCAGGAGGCTCCTCGACGTTCGTCCCCGGGGACGGGGTCGGCAGTACCTCGTGGACTGGGAGGGTTTCGGTCCCGAGGACAGGTCCTGGGTTCCGGGGTCTTTTATTGTGGACCCCTCTCTCATCACGGACTTTGAAGCTTCCAGGGCCTCGTCTTCTTCCTCCGCCTCCTCTTCCTCTGCTGGGACGCCAGGGGGCGTCCGTTGAGGGGGGGGGGGGGGGGGGGGTACTGTCAGGATCTGGGGTGAGTCTGCACATTCAACTAATTACCACCAAGTCGTTGCAGGTGAGCGGTGCCGGAGAGTGGCCAGCTGCGGTGTGTTTCCCATCACCTGCCAGGGTTTATAAGGAGCTGGGAGATCACTTCACCTCGCTGGAAGATTACTCAACTTGGGTAGTTCTGTCTTGCCTTTAGTACAAGCTACAGTTATTGTCACAGTTTATAGATCGCTACAGTTATTGTTATCTCAGTCCTAGTAGCTACAGATGGTGTTTGTGCTCTTAATGAGCGTAGTAATCATTCGCCCTGCTTTCCTCAGGATCATCTTCAGACCTGCCTCATCCAACCTCAGCCATAATCTGGAACCGTGCTACAGATCTCCCTCCTCCTGGTGGACCCCACCGCTCTCCTCCGCTCACCTCTTGGATCACGCCCCAGTACCAACACCTCTGCCACAGCTCACCCCAGATCTGCCCAGACATCAAAGCCAGCTTCCTACAGTAAGACTCCTCCGAAGAATTTATTCCACTTCAGCCACAAGATCCTCACCTCTGTCTATCCTACAGACCCCGGCCACCGGAAAGAGTGCTCTGCGCCTTTGCTACCCATCTCCACATTTTGTGGTGC